TTTGTGTTTTTGACAAACCAGTTCTTTTCTCAAATAAAATTAAAGTCTAAACCACTTTAAGAGATCATATTATTGATTAAAATATTATCTTTTTATCAAAACCAAATTAACTTAACCTAATTTTGATAAAGATACAAAAATAAATAATATAAATCCACATTTTGATTTTACAAGACAATTTAACAATTATAAAACTTTGTACTATATAATTTAGACTTAAAATTTCAATTAAAATTATGAAATAAATGACAATATCTATTATTTTCAATTAATTTTATATTGAATAAATTTTCTTCTTAAACTTTTTAATTCTTGCAAAAGAAATATCTTTTTTTGAAAGATAAGAAATGTATATTCGTAAGCCAAAATATTCACGCATGTTGCAAAAAGTCTGTGTTATATAAAAATGTTTTTATATTTTTAAAAATTTATTTTAAATAGATAAAAAATAAAGTTAATTTTTTCTATTTTGAGTAAAAAAATTTATGATTAATAAAAAATTATTTATTAAATACTTTTTATAGTAATTTTAACTTAAATTAAAATTTATATAAATTATTTATCAAATAGCTTATCTATAAAAAAGAACTTATAAAAAATAACTTTACCAAATAACTTTAACTTAATTTTAAAAATTATTATTTTTTATAAAAATTTTATAATAACTTTTAAATTAAAAAACAATATTGACCAAAGCATGTATAACTCGGAGGTCAAATCCTAAAAATTCCCTTTTTAAAATCCTATAGGGTCTTTTGCAGAATTCAAAACTCAATAAAAAAAAAAAAGACAAACACACAAAGTCCCCCGCACGAACGCAAAAACCCTTTTTAAGGAAAGAAAAACTGGAAAACCCTTTTCTAAACCCATATTTTCCACCCTAAGAAAGGCGCTTCGGTCACTTTGTGTTTCTCCAATGGAATCTCTTTCAAGTTCAGGGTTCCTCTCTACTCTCCCTGAGACATACCCGTTTCTCAACACCCAATTGCCAGCTGCTTCTTCTTCTTCATGTTGTTTGATCAAAGCAGCAAATAGACGAATTGGGTCTCTTAAATTCAAGTCTGAAACCTCTCTTTTTGATGGGTTTCGTCTCCAAGCTGTATCTCGCGAGGTACCTAAGGAAGGTGAAGACGAGCCGCAGCCTCTTACCCTTAATAATGAGTTTCACTTTGTCGCTGAAGATAGTCTCTCTGTATCTCAGGTGCTAAGAACTAAACACTATGAATGTTGTTTTTTTTTTTTTGGTTTTTTCTGTGTACTTATTTGGGTTCTTTTTAAGTTGTATATATATAATGTTTGCTTTCTTATCTCTAATTCTTGCCTCAGAACATCTAAGAAAGAAACATGAGAAACCACCTTATTCTGTAAAAAGTTCATATGTAGGATGTTTGTCATATTTGCAAAGCTTTTGATACAAATATTTTTGAATGATTAAATATTAATTTTTATTGTGGATGAAAAAATGCTTGTTTTACTTTTATATTATGTTTGAATGTGTGCTAGATTTTAACTGTTTGCTCATTTTTAATGAGTAATGAATTGGCTTCAGCTTATTAGTAATTCTTGAGAAAATAAAAGCAAATAGCAAAAGTCACAGCCAAATGAAACTTAAGAAGTTTGAAAATTTCAAATCTAATGTACTTAATGGTTTACAACTTTTAGGATAAGGTTGTGGATTTTAGTACTAGTATATTGTATGAGCTAGTAGTTCTAGCATGATCTTTGGAACCCTTTTCCTGTTTTCTCTCTTGGTTGACATAGACATTTGTTGGATATATCAAGTGGCTACTTCGGCTCAGTATTGATGGTCTCTCTCATGTTCTGAAGGGTGAGTCAAATCACAATAAAAGCAGCGAAAAGGATGTAGATAAATTGATAAAGGTTGAAACCCCTTTTACAGTCCCACATGGAAGTGGAGCAAGTGGGGGTACGAGAGCTGGGCTTTTCAGAACCCCAATATCTGGTGGAGTGCAGAGTGCAACTTCAGCACATGGGTTACCTCGACCAGCCTTAGCAGTCCGTAATTTGATGGAACAAGTAAAGGCTATTATTTGAGTTCTAAGTACTGTCATATGAGAAATAAAAAAAAAAAAAAGATTTCTATGTATTCTCTTTCTCTGTGTTTTGTTTCCAGTTATATTTTAATTTGGTAGTCCTGAATTTATTGCCTCTGTAATTTAAGGCCAGATTTGCTCATCTATGCACTGTAATGTCTCGGATGCACCACCGACGAGAAGGGTATCCCTTTGGCTCTCTGGTAGATTTCGCACCTGATTCAATGGGTCGTAAGTTGTTGACTTTTCAAGATTTATTATTTAGTTTCTTTCTGGTTCCACCATAGAAATATTTTATCTGAATAATTAGTTAAACTTTTTTTGTTTCCTCTGTTAATATTTTATTTTTAAGTGAAACAGCCTTTGGAACTATGTGTTTATCCTTTATAAAAGCGATGTGCTTTCTTTTCCTATAACATTGGAAAATATGCAAAAGGAATTTTTTTTTTTTTTGGGTATAAGTTATTAGCTTTATTTAATATAGCTTTGTTTTTCAACTTGCAGACCCAATATTTTCATTTTCACCATTGGCCATCCACACACGGAATTTATTAGCAGACCCCAGATGCACCCTGGTCGTGCAGGTTAGTTCTTTCGATCTCTTTGCTCTGATGGATTATCCGGGTTAGTTATTCTCCATTTATGGAATTTATTGACAATTAGGTGTACAGATACCTGGATGGAGTGGCTTATCGAATGCAAGGGTAACAATTTTTGGTGATGTCTACCCACTTCCTGATCATCAACAGGTGGTCACTCAAATCCTTATTTTTTTTTTCTTCCCTTTTTTTGGTAAGGGGTGAGGGTGGGGAAGGGGGCAAGCAAGTAAAGGGCTGGGATATGTACTTAAAAAGATTGGGACTTCTTCTTTTTCCTTTATGGGCTCATGGCTTTACAAATAGCTGTAGAGAGCAAGTTTCTGTTGCCTCCAACTAAGGGAGTCTCCTTGTGGATTAGGTTCTAGAGGATGTCTAGTCTAACGTCTGTTTCTTCACCTTTTAAAGAATGCATAATTTGGATAGTTTTTCCACTTGGTCTTCCCTTTCTTCTCTTTGATCACATGTTTGGGGGTTATCCTTTAGATGTAGGATCCACTAAATGTCTTCCATAATTTGTATTATGTATATCTATACAATTTGGGCCTAAAATATGCCTCTGCCCTCTATTGCGGGGAGTGATGTATTTGGTTTTGAAATTAAAATGCCTGGTTGTTTTGCTAGGAATGGGCTCATAAACAGTACATAGCAAAACATCAACAAGGACCATCTCAACAGTGGGGAAATTTCTACTACTTCAGGATGCAGAACATAAGGTCTGTTTTAGTCTATAGTTTTTCTGAGTTATGGTTCCTTCTTGGAGAGTATGGGCTATTTTATGCATTGCATCTCATCTGGACCTGATTTTTTTGGTGATGCTTTTGTTTGAAAACTGCTAATATCTGTTACACAGTCATGCACAACTTATAATATTTAGTAGAGGTTAACGTTTTAAAAGCACCAATTAGAATATTCAAAATGTGTTTTCTATTGGGGACGGTGGTGGGGGGGCTGTGAGTTCCGTAGACAGCTTTGGAATCAATACTTGTTGTCCTGCTAGTACTTTTAGTTGGTGATTTTACCACAAGCTTTGGTATAACTAGACATGGCACTAGCGAGAGTTGCAACTGGTTTTCTCTTCCTTATTTGCCTTAAAAGACTGTTGTCTGTTTATATCACTCATGCAGGTTGGTAAGATTCCCTATTTCTTTTCCATTTGGAAGGTTGATTCCTATTTCCAGCTTACTTCATCCTTCAAATCCTAGGAAAACTCTTGCACGAATCATCATTTTCGAATAGTGTACCCCTCACCCATGCGTCTAAACTTGTAAAATCCTTCTGGTTATCCAAGTAGAGAAAATACCAACTTTTTTTTAAAAAAAAAATTGGACCATTTAAAGAACCAGTAAGGTTACAAATTCCAGTTGAAGTAGGTGGTTCTAATATTTTTATTTTTTTATTTATTCCTTTTGTTCTGGTGTTTTCCTATTTCATTTTTTAGTTTTGTAAAGTTTTTGAAAGTTAATAGACTTAGAAATAAGGCAAAATAGTAAAAGAAGTACTAATGCAATTGGGAGTTTAGGGAGTTAGGGACCTGCTGCAAGTTTTGCCTTAATTGTCATGTTTTGTTTATGTCTGTTTCTCTTGATTTCTCTCTGGGTTGGCTGCCTTTTCTATGGCTTAAGAATCTTGATCTAGGTGTACCGGGGGTGTTTATGTGGTTGTGGAAGTTTCCTTGCTGTTGGTGGTCGTGTGGCCCTGGGGATTACTTTGGAAGGGGGGGAACAAGTGGTTTGGTCTACGTAAATCTGGGGGAGAATTTTGATGTTCTGGAGTCTTACTTGTTTTAGCAAGAGAAGGAAACAGGCATGCTGGTTGTGTTTCCTTGTCTTGCTAACTCCCTGTATGGTTTAATTTTGTGTTGGTGAAAAGGTGTAGGCTTAGACGGCTAACTGTAAATGTAAAGGTGAATATTTTGTTTGAAGGGCAGGGTTGGTTACTGGTGTTTTTGTCTTACCAGTTGTGTTCAGAGGGTTAAGACTGTTCTTTCCAGTCTTTGTCTCCTCTTTTGTTTGTACATGGATGCCCTATCTTTATGAATGAATTCTGACTTTTTTTAAAAAAATAATGCAATTGGAAAGATGAGAGTTTTCATACTTTTTTCCTATTTAAAATAAATGGAAAAGTGAAAAGGTACATGGGAAATGTAATTGTCAATGGTTGGACTCATGGAAAAAGTGAAAAGATGCTTTGCAAATTGCATGGGATACGAGAAAGGTAAAGACAGAATCTTTAGAAAAGTAGTGTTTCTCACTTACTGGTTCTTAAAATAGTAAGGTTCTAAAAAATTGTTCATGATTTTTTTTGGCTTGTTTTGTCTGAGGTATGCTTGTGGCATCATGTACCTAGGCTTCTGCTTGCCACTGCAGGCTTGCAGCCATGTAAATTTTCTAGTTTCTTGGATGCCTAATCAGTGTAGTGTTCAAGTATATGGTTCTATGCTCTTCTTCATTATTCCCTCTTTGATAACTGAAATTGGTTGGATATGGAGAAATGAAGAAAATCCTGTTCTAGTGTGTGTTTTCATTGTTAGTTTCATTGCCTTGTATTAACTACCTTAAGAGTCTTGGTTTCTGTATAACATATATAACCATGTAAAATAATGCAATGGTTTTGTATTCAGAAGTCTGATTAGCAGTGGGATAAACATTATTAGTTAATAAGCGATTCTTCCATTTTTCCTCTTGATCTTTTCTTTCGCACTATTGATTGTATTAATATTTTTGAATATTTTGTCCTTTACATAATTTGTTTTATGTTGCACACAATTAATGTGTTTGTTTGCCAAAATTTATTTCAGTGACATATATTTCATAGGAGGATTTGGCACTGTTGCATGGGTTGATGTCAAGGAATATGAGGTGCTTAAACCTGATAAGATTGCAGTTGATGGAGGTGAACAGAATCTGAAGGTGAACTTTTTAAATTCTCAGAATTTCGGTTTTCCTCTTGGATGGTATTCTATTTTATTTTTGTTGTATCATTGCGGCTGTTGTTGCCGCCAAAAGATATTTATGGTTTTGTTGTTCTTTTCTATCGAAGATCTCAAGCTACTAATTCATTTACTATACATGTGCCCTAATGCAATTTGTCAGTATGTCCAAATTTTTGATCAAATTTGCTTCTACTATAGGAACTTAATTCAACCTTTTCAAAGCCACTCAAAGAGCTACTATCAACAGAAACTGAGGTTGATGATGCGGCTCTTATATCAATAGACAGCAAGGGAATTGACATCAGGGTCCGACAAGGTGCACAGGTATCATTTATTCCATATGATGGCACTTGACATGTTTAAACTTTGGGTTTCCAGGGGGAGCTGAGGTTTATGCCAGTTTTGTATCATAATATGATGTATTATTTGCAGTTCAACATACAGAGGTTGTCATTTGAGGAAGGGCAGGCTGTTGAAACATTGGAGGAAGCCAAAGCTGCTCTTTGGAAAGTAATAAAGAAAGGGCAAGTGCAGAATCTGAAGAGATAGAAGTTGCAAATTTTAATATTTATATGAGGCATAAGGCGAGACGATGCAAATCTGAGCCATCACTGAATCTAATGTAATACTATAGAGAAGGTTATTTACACATAAAAGTGAGTGCTTGTAATTTTCCTTTTTGCATGCAATGTGTAACATAGACTACCTGGCTGTGGAACTTTTTTATGTGGGTTTTTCTAGAAAACGTTTAGGCAAGTTATGGCCAATGCTTGTCATTTTATGGTAAAAGTGAGCGAATGGGTGAATTAGATGGTACGGTACATCATGTTTAAAGATTAAATAGATTAAATATTTTTAAAAAATCGATTAAATATGATCAAATATAAAGGAAGATTAAACTGATTAAATATAAAATTGGTTTTATCGATTAGATGTTGGATCAATGAATTAAAATTTTATTGTTATGTTTTTGTAAATTATAATATTAAAATTTATAAATTTTATTTATAATTATAAAATACACAAATTATGTATAAATTAAATATGTATATATATATATAATATTACTTTATTATATATATGAAATTAATTATATAATTTATACGTTACAATATTTAAATTTTTATAATAAAATTTATAAAAATAATAATTAATTATAAATAATATGATATAAAAACTAAGTCGATAATTAATAAATTGTTAAGTTTAATGATATAAATAAAGTCTATTATGAGTTACAATAATGTTTATTTATAATTTAAATATATGTATATATATAACATATTTCTTTATTGTGTATATATGAAATTAATAACGTAATTTATATGTTATAATGTTTTATATTAAAGTTTGTATAAATAATAACTAATTATAAACAATGTATTATAAAAATTAAGGTAATAATTAATAAAGTTATTAAGTATAATTATATAAATAAAATTTATTATAAATTATAATAATGTTTATGTACAAATTAAATATTTATAATATTTATATAATTCTATATATTTATAATATTTTATATTACGAAACATTATTAAAGTATAATAATTATAACATATTAATATATAGGATATTTACTATCATATATTATAATATTAACATATAAGTTACATCATTTAAAATATATAACTTGTAATTTCATATTAATACAGATTTACAAATAAATAAATACATATAATTGAAATGAAATTATTATGATTAAAATTTATATACATATATATATTAAATTAATATATTTTAAGTATATTATTAATTAAGTTTACTATTAATTTTTCTTAATATATGTATATAAATATTATTTATTAATAAATATATATATAATATGAAAAATTAGTTTATTTTTTGGATATATTGGTTTAAAAATTTTAAAATTGAAAATCGATCAAAAAATCAATCAGATCTAACATTTTAGACCGATTAATTCAATAACCTAATTAGACCAAATGGTTTTACTCAAATTGTATTAGATTTGGATAAGTAATTGGTTTTATTTGATTTTACCCACTCCTATTTTATAAGATTTTTTTTATTTTATTTTTTGGCCCGGGTGGAGCGTCTTTTCAATACTTTATCCAATGGTTTGTATTGCTCCACGTCTTAGATGAATGTTGCAGATTGAATTAGGGAAATCAACTCATGTTTCAATCTTGACAAGGACTTAAGCCTCACTACTTTGTTTTGGGCAAAGACAAAGGATTAGGTTTGGTTGGATCGGTTGAGTTCCAATCACACTATTCTTGTCTCATTTAGTTTTACAGAGTCTAAATTTGTATCTTGGAGTCAAACCTTCTAACTTGGATAATATGAATAAAAATAATTTTTCAAAATTTTCCTTTTTTTTTTATAATATTTTTTAACTAAATTAAAAAGTATAATGACAAAGCTGGACCGATTGAAAGGTCTTTGATCTTCACTTGACTAGAGTAACAAAATTGGGACTTATCTCTAAAAGATATTCTTTTTTTTTTTTTTTAAATTTATGATCAACTACAAATTTAACTTGCACATCTGATGATGTTGGGGAAGATGAATGATTTTTCATGAGATTTTGAGAAAAGTAAATCGTTTTCTTCTTAAAAATTGTTTGTTGTTATTAAGATTATTTTAAAACTTATTTGGTATTTAAATTTAAAATTTTAATTTTTTTAATTTTTTAAATTAAAATTATTAGTAGATTGTATATTTTAGATGTGAAATAAATTTCTTCCTTATTTTGGATTCAAGTTAACTAATTAGGTGTTCACAAACATGTAAAAAAAATGGACCTTCATAACCGTCAAGTATTTAACAGGTTCGGATAATCATCGAGAAGTGTAAAAGGTATTAAAGTATAGATTTAGGTTCATATAGCATTTCAAATTTTAATCAAATATTTATAGAGTTTGAATCTTTTTATCAATAACAACTTTATATCTTTTCTGAACATGTTATCTCACAGTAACACTTGGGACAGTAGTTGGATAGGCCTAAAATCTGGGCAGTCGGCCTTGGTTGGCAAAGCCGATTTAGGCGTGGCGCCTGGGGACAAGTGCAAGCAGTTGAATAGGCCGCCCCAGCCGGGCCATACGTAGAAACTAGAGAGTAGAGAGAGATGGAAGGTGCTGTGGAAGTCACTTGGCGAAAGAAGTGAGCTTAACCAGCCATGTCCGTTGTCCAAGTGAAGCTCGTAATTTCACACAATGAGAACGAATATGGCCAAACCATTCTTGGGCCCCCCACCTATCTCTTTCCTTGATGCTGAATTTACCATTTCCAATTGGACAATTCACCATTTGACAGTTATGAGCAACGACCAAAGTAAGGAAAAAATGAAAAGGAAAGGAGCATTTTCTTTGGCAATGAACAAAACCCAAGAAAAGCTTACCATTGTCCTCCCAACAAATTCATAATAATAATTATTCATTTGGCCATTTTCCTAAAGATATGAACAATCCCAACAAATCCAGACCCATTTTAGAGTTTTCAGTTTCTACCTTCTGCCCTCGACACCCCCCACTAACCATAGCCATATAATCCAAGCAATCATACCACCAAAAACAAAAACACACCACTTTTCCCATGGCAGAAACTAGCTCCACTGCCAGAACCAGCAACTTCAATAATGGATCACCTATTGCTAACTTAGCTCCAGACCATCTCTTTACAATCTTGCTTTTACTTCCTATAGAGTCAATTCTATCTTTTGCCATGACTTGTAAGAAATTCAGGTATCTGGCAAGTTGTAATTCACTGTGGGAGTCCATATGCAGGAGAGACTGGGGACCGACAGCCGTAGATGCCCTTAAGTCTTCTTTTCATGGTGATGAGGATCATCAACTGCTTCCATGGATTAGGCTATACAAGCAGGTGTCTCAGCTCGATTCAGTTTGCTGCTACAAACTCTCTGACCCAGATTCTGATTTGCTGTTACCAAGCCCCAGAGCCTCTCACTCCCTCAATTTTGTGTCTGGTTGCCTGGTTTTGTTTGGTGGTGGCTGTGAAGGAGGTCAGTCACTTGTACAGATAATAATAGCTCTGTCTTTGCTTTTGCTTTTGCTTTTGTTTTGTTTTTGGTGCATGTCTCTAGGATGACATATCTCTTGGATTCTTTGATGACTTTTCCGTCGTAAATTGTGTATGTGGCGTTTTAAAATCAAATGGCTAAGGTGCCTTTGAATTTGTATTGGATAATAGCGAAGAGCATCTATGTCAACTTATCAGGTAACATTTCCATTTTGGTAGTATCTCCTTCAATTCAAGCATCTATGTAGTTAAAAAGTCGAGCATCCTGCTTAGAGTTTGTCTGAACTTTCTCAGGCATTTTCCCTTTATCATTTTGTTGGCACTAGGCTACCTAGGAGGCTTATTGAAACCAAAGGGACAGTTTTATTCCATTTTCAAGCACTGATGCTGCATATGGTTGTTACTTTTGCTACTTGCTTTTTGCTTTCTTGAATTTACTATAAATTACCAGCAAATGTTAGAATTCAAATCATAATTGATTAAAGATGAATAAATCACTGCAATCAAACACTAATTGTAGCATATATTGTTCTATATAAAGTAAAATCAATATGTTTTACTATCCGAAAACTGTATATTTTTAATTTTTAATTCTTTGAAAAATACCTTTTGATTTTGTATCAAAATCCAATCTTTGCTCCTTTTCTTTTTGCTTGCAAAAGCAAAGGTCAAAAGATTAATAAAAGAACAACCAAAGAGTTTATTAGCATTTTTTTCATAAAACATGGATATGATTACTGTAGAAGCACTGCAGTTAGTTCTGGTACTTGAAAGCAACCCATTGCAAAGAGAGCTCATGTAAACTAAAAAGAACTATGATTAGGCAAGTTTAGCCGTTCCTCATTTATTTTGTAGCAAATTTTATGATAACAGTAAAAGGAATAAATCTGATCAACAACCTTTAAAGATCAACCGAATATTTACACCAATCACACTTCTCGTAGTTAAGGTGATTGACATGGACCAATGTGTAGCCACTATTATATGGTGAGAAAGAATCTGAATCACAAAACAAACTAGCTGGGAGAAAGATCACTGTGATACTTTTATTTACATCTTAAGCAAATTAAATATGTTTACCATGTAATTCCATAGGAGCTTGACCACACATGCCTTTGTATTGCTTATATAAATTATAATGCTTCATTTTACTGGATAGGAGATAGGAGGTAGTTTCACATGAGCTTTTACACATGAGTACAAAAACTGCTCTAATGGTAGAAATCTTATGGCCACTTTGGTGTCTGTTGTATAAGCATCTTTATTGATGTGCTGTTTATCCATTTTCTTCCTACATTTCTTTCCACTGGTAAAATAAAAGAGCAATTTGTCCACATCATCTAATGGTTAACTTTTTGCTGTAATGGTAAAAAACCTTAGGACTGACAAGTGCAACAGCACATGTGCAAGTCTTAGAAGCAACCACTGCACTTAGCTATAGGCATTTGGGCGACAGACCAAAAGTCATTTTGATGATGTAAAAGGCTCTAGATGGACCAATTAGGTTCTTCTTGAGGATTATGAAATTGTAACGTGGCATGAAAACTTTCCAGAGATGGTATCACTGCTGCCAGTTTCCTTGCTTCCATGGATGGCATGGAGCATACCCTAGCTTCATCCACAGAGGAATTGTTAAAAAAATGTCATCACTCTTAAGTTTGAATGATTTCAGCTTCATGGTATAAGATTGCTCTAGCTTATCGTTGGTAAACAAATATGAGGTACCTTCTGTGAACAAAACATTTTGAACATTCCATTGTTTCACTTTGTTTTTGGCTGATGGTAACCTTGCATTTGTTGGGAATGTAATCTCTAGTGAAGCATATGCAGTTTTGGCCAGTGATTTGGCAAATAATTAAGGAGATACTTACAGTTATCATCTGACTGCTTTAGTAACCAGTAAAAATGAAGAAGCCCTCTTTTTCCTGTTACCTCGTTGATATCATAACTTTCACTTTTTGTTCTGTATTTTTGCTCCTATTAGGACGCCATGTTGATGACACTTGGGCTGCATACATCGGTGATAATTCTCGGAGGATGTTAAAGTGGCAGAAGATTCATTCAGGTATCCCAAGCGGGAGATTTGGGCATACGTGTGTTGCCATTGACAATTATCTTGTTCTATTTGGAGGAATCAATGACCGGGGAAATCGTCACAGTGATACATGGGTGGGGCAAGTAGCATTCCACGAGAATGTTGGTATCTCGTTGTCGTGGAGGCTGCTAGATGTGGGGTCAATAGCACCAGCTCCACGCGGAGCCCATGCTGCATGTTGCATAAGCAACAGGAAGATGGTTATTCATGGAGGAATTGGTTGGAATGGTGTCAGGTTGGGTGATACATGGGTGTTAGAACTCTCGGAAAATCTTTGTTTCGGAACATGGCATGAGATTGTGAGTCATTCCTCTCCTCCTGCTCGTTCAGGACATTCATTGACATGCATAGGGGGAACACGAACAATTCTATTTGGTGGGAGAGGATTGGGTTACGATGTTCTGAATGATATCTGGCTCTTGGATGTGTCTGAGGATTATTCGAAATGGGTAGAAATATTTTACGAACTGCAAAGCATACCAGCCGGAGTTTCCCTCCCACGAGTTGGCCATTCAGCTACATGCATCTTAGGAGGGCGACTGCTAATTCATGGAGGAGAAGATTCACAGAGGCACCGAAAGGATGACTTTTGGGTATTAGATATCAGTGCCATCTCATTAGAAAGAATGCAGCCAGCTAGATTGAGCTCAAAGAGATTGTTGGCAAACATGTGGAGGAGAGTTAAAGCTAAGGGTTATAAACCCAAGTCCAGATCATTTCACCGAGCTTCTGTAGATAATTCGGGGCGTTATTTGTATGTTTATGGCGGAATGGTGGATGGAGCAGTTCAGCCTGCGGAATCATCTGGACTAGGGTTTGATGGAGAGCTGTTTCTGGTGGAGCTCGTGCTTCAGCTGTAAAAAAAGAAAGAAAGAAAGAGGTTACATTGGTAATGTAAATATTTCCATCAAGGGTATCGCACTGCCCTGAAGTCTTGTACGTACATCCACCCTCCCACTTAGCTTAGCTTCTCCCCTGCTGTGTATGTGTTCCATATACAACTTTTACAAAATATATACCAGTCCTAATACTCCTAGTGTGCTGCCATGAATCATTGATTCTGGGTACCAATGGTTTTAGAGTTGCATATTTGAGAAAATATTCTTGATCTCTCTTTTGCTAATATGAAAGAGGTAACCATAAAAGTCCTCATAGGCAAGACTTGGGAGCTAGTGTTTACGTTTAAAATATACTACTTGTGCAAGAGGGTCCAAGTAGTAGCTTGATCTGATCAGTCCAGTCCCACAAAGGTTAGGAAGTAGGTAACATAACATAAATTTTAATATCAAGAGTAAGATGGAAGATATTTTGTTTATGATTAATGTTCTTAATCACTATAATATATCCAACTCAATTTATCCCATTGCATTCTTATGATGAGCATTGGAGTTTGGCAAGAACCATTAAAAATTATTTTGAAAATGAGCCCTTTTAATAATTAATCTCAATTAATCAGATGGATTTGAAATGGGACTTATTACTAAGGTTCACCTTAATACAATACTTGTATCCACCACTCTTTTAAATCATTCAATTCAATCTTGAACTTATCCTAATTTCATTTTATCAGAATAAATTAACAATTCGAACATATCTACTTTATAGAACATATCTAATTTGAATCTAAAAAGACTTGTATCCATATCATTCGATCGGAATTTAAATCGATCCAAATTTATTTAAATGTTATATAATTTTTTAAAATATTAATTTAATTAAATATTAATTAATATTATTTTTTGGTGAACATTACAGTAGGTTTGACCTTACTGTAAAGTCAATGAATAAAATTTTTAAAAAATAATAAAAACCTGTATAACAGGTTAACATGTAAACAACATATATAATTTTTAAACTTATCTATTTTAAGATAATAATGTAGATAATTTTTAAACTTATTTAGTTTATTTTAAGTTATTTAACTTTCAATTTTATTTCATTTTTTATTATAAATTATAAAAATATTATTAATTTCATATTAAAATTATATTTAATTGATTTAATTCAATAAAAGTTATTCTTATCCCTAGTTACATTAACTCTCACACACTTACATTAAGATTTAAAATTTAGTTATTCCACCTTTACAAGTTTTTACGTCAATTCTTACAGTTTTACGTCAAGGCTTTTCCATGTCAACTTGAACTATAATTATTTTTATCCTTATTATTCTTAATTTAAAAATTAAGATTTGTATATCGTTAAACACTTTTAGTCTGAGAAAATAGAAATTTAAATACTTATTTTTTATTAAATTTACATTGTTTTTAATTAAATGGCTTGTTACATTAATCCTCACACACTTACGTTAAGATTTAAAATTTATTTATTCCATCTTCACAAGTTTTTACGTTAATTCTTACAGTTTTACGTCAAGGCTTTTCCATGTTAACTTTGAACTATAATTATTTTTATCCTTATTATTTTTTATTTAAAAAATAAAATTTGTATATCGTTAAACACTTTTAGCATGAGAAAATAGAAATTTAAATACTTATTTTTCATTAAATTTAGATTGTTTTTAATTAAATGAGTTGTTACGTTAACTCTCGCACACTTGTGTTAAGATTTAAAATTTAGTTATTCCTGCTTCACAAGTTATTACGTCAATTCTTACAGTATTACATCAAGGTTTTTCCATGACAACTTTGAACTATAATTATTTTTATCCTTATTATTTTTAATTCAAAAATTTAAATTTTTATGTCGTTGAACTTTTTCAGTTCGAGAATATAAATTTAAATATTTACTTTTCATTAAATTTACATTGTTTTTACTTAATTGACTTGTTACGTTAACTCTTACACACTTACATTGAGATTTAAAATTTAGTTATTTCTCCTTATGAGTTTTTACGTAAATCGCTATTACTTTACGTTAATGATTTTAAATTGCAATGTTTAGGGTTTTTAATGACAACTTTAAATTATATGTGTTTAGGGTTTTTTTATTATACATTTTTAATTTTGATTTTTTGATTTATCATAGTGTCAATCCTATTTATAGTATGAAATTTCAACCATTGAATAAAAGTAAAGCAAATAAACGGTTTCTATTAAAATGGCATAAAAAAACGTCCATAAAAAAAAAGAAGTCTCTCCCACAAAGAAATTTTCTACTAGAGGTTGCAGGTGGAGAACCATCATATTCACCTTCAATAAATAGACAATTTTGCTGCACAAGCTTTACAACAGCAAGTCCATCTTTCATCAAATAGTTTGGAGAACAAGATACTATACTAAGGCCAACTTCTGTTACATCATTGTAGAGTCCATTAAAGAGATGACTCCCCCCCACTAAGGGAGTTTTCTACCGGACGTTGGAGGTAGTCTTCACAAGCATTATAAAGCAATTTCTATTGGCACACTGACGGTTGGTCTACATACCACTATCCTATCAATTGTTTATTTTGCTATACGTGCTGGGTCTTCTTCAACTTTGCTCTCCCCACCACGCTCACCTTGTGTAGGTATTGTTAACAATAATATTCAATCCTTATACCCTAAATGCTACACATTAAACCTTATATACTAAACCCTAAAATATTAAATGATACTAGCTTTGGTATTGTGATTTGACAATTTTGATTATACTAATTTAATACTTAGCCTCCAATATTATTATAGTATAGTAATTTTTTATTTAATATTTCATGAGTATTTAAAGTCGTCATTATATATTATTTATGTTTAATTTGTGTAGGTTAATGGAAAGTAAAGAAAATAATTTGTCAAATGCAAAATATTTGCATGAACTTTCAAAAGATGATATACTGGGTTTGGAGTTTGATGAATTAGAAGATGTTTATGAATTTTATAAAGCATATGCTTGTGCCATGGGCTTTGGTGTTCGTAAAGGTAGCTGTAGGCGAAACAAAAATGGAATTGAAGTTATAAAGCATTTTGCTTGTTCGAAGGAAGGACATAGGGTTGAAAAATGGGAAAAGCTAGAGAATCGAGTGCGAGAACCTAAAAGGTCATCTAGAACATATTGCAAGGGTTTAGGTCATCTAGAACATATTGCAAGGCTAATGTTCGGGTCATTCTAAACAAAGATACAGGAAAATGGTATGTTTCACATTGTGAACTTGAACATCATCATTAGATGGTAAATCCCGCTCAAATATGTTTCATTCGATTCGGATAGGCATATTAAAGTAGCTGATGTCTATAAAGCAAAAGCTATGAA